GTGTGTTATCCGACATTTTCGCTTATCCGACGTTCTGCCAGCCCGTTTATGTCGGATAAGCAAGACTCTACTGTATGCCTATTTTTCCATGTGTAAGGATTAAAAAAAAAAGTACACCCAATCTCATGATTCCTCAGTTGCAATTTGAAGTGATTCATTTTCTCATCTGCTGAAAATTGCACCAAAAATTAAAGATGGTAAATCATTTCTATGTTTTTTAAAGGTTCCCATTCAAGGAGCGTTCAATGAATTCAGGCACATGAGTTGGTCTTTGTAGCTAGCACTTTGGCTTATATTAAAAGTTCCAATCGGATGAAGATAAATCAGCAGGCTACAGAATGTTCCATGAAGTTGCCGTGTTTATAAATGGCTTCTATAAAGACCATCCATTTTAAATAGGGGACATCTGGTACCCTGTTTCAAAGTTGCTTTCAACCAAATGATCTCCCATGATGAAGTTGTGTCAGTGGGAGACAACTGACAGAATTTTAAAGATCAGTTTGTGAAGCCTGTTCAAAAGGTTTTTCCTCCAAAGCACATTATGATCAATTCCACGGCACATTTGCTGTTATACAAGGCCAGCTGTTGCATCTGTTTGTCTTCTCCCTTAGTATCCTCACACAAAAGCAAATAAGGAAAACACACACACTTTCTGAAACTCCACCATCATCTGATGCTTTTTTCTTTTGTGTATGTGTGGGAGGGAAAGGATCTGGTTTGAAAGTTAAATACCAGATACAAGAAGAAAAAACGGTTACCTCATGTTTATAGTACGCCATGTACTTAATGATTAAGTCTAATTCATGTTACATTACATTGTAATAGATTTAACAGCATTTAGGGATATTTATGCATAGTGCATTGATTCTTTGTGGATGTTAAAACCCATGTATAAGATTAGTCATTATATTTTTCTGGATAATATTAGATAATATGTTGTTTCCTCGCCAAAAGCAACTTTCCAAAATAGCAGGAGGGGGAAAAAAGCAAAAATATGTTTGTTTGTATATAATTTTATAGCTCTGACAATTGCCAGAACTGTTTCCTTCTAATCTTTTCATAATTTTTGAAGTCAACTGGGAAACAGTAATTCAGCGTTAGACCACTCGCAGCTCCTGAACCTCTTTTTTGTAGCTCTGGACTGTTCGAAGACCATGCAACCAGAATTTGACAGTGATCTGTCAACTGTTGGGAGTAATAATATTCTGCTAATTTGGGGTAGGAAAATGACAAAACTCTAACAATTATAGCGAAATAAGAATTTTTTTAAACAGCTTTCCATTCCAACCATACATGCACACACATCACACAAAC